AGATTACACTTACAGTTTCATGAAAAATGATTGATGTCTCTAATCCAGGCATTACGTCTAGAAGAAGGCGACAGGTTACAATATTTAAATCCTTGTCTTGAGATTGAATATAAGTCTTTACAAGCTGTCAAAAAAACATTTAATTACTCAATTAATCAAATTACCAAAAGAATTTCAAACGATGATCCCCTCCGACTAAAATGAATAATAAAAAATAAATAAATAAATAACTAATAAAAAAAATCACAAAAAACAACAGTAAACATCCTTAATAATGGTAAAAAGTATAATAAATAATAACAATTAGTTATCAATGGCCTATAGATGGGTGCAGAGTACAATATATTTTTCGTTTTCTAATATAAACGAATAAATAAATAATAAATATTTTCTTCAAACCTTATCCATGAACTGGTCATTTTCAAAGATAATTCTGAGAAGATGTCCTAAGCTGCAGTCCCTATCGGCACGAGCTGGGTGGCGGTCATCAAAAGGGTCAGGATCCTGCTTCATATAGTTCTCAACTTCAACTTCTATCATCTCACACATCCTAACAAGCGCGAGAAATAATTGATTCTTAATGTAATTATATGTGACAACTGTAATTTCCCGAAATATGGGATATTGTCATAACCATGAAAGAAATCAGTTATTTGTCAAGGAAAACCGTCTAGCACATTACACTACCATTGTCACTTGAAAGGAAAAGGAAAAAGCAAACTGCAGCTTAGCTATGCAAGCAACACAACTGCAAACTCAGGCCTGAAATGGCAATACATCCTGGTGAAAATTGGGCCTATAAATCATTTTTGGCATTTTTGAATATAAGTGCCAATTACACAGTCATTTTTTTCAAAATTAGGCACTAGCGTATCTCTCAATACTTGTTACTGGCAAAATGAATTTCCTTGCAGTTATGAAGCACTTTGTTTTCTCTGGTCATTGGGTCCAGGTGCTTAAGTATTGTTGCCATATCGGCACAGTAGCAGGCAACCCTACCAAGTACTCATTTATACTCCTGGGTGAAGAGAATCAAAGCAAACAAAGTGCCTTGCTCAAGGACAGAAGACTGTAATAAGGCATGTGCAGCGTCCCTTCGGGCAAAAATTAGGCCTAGAACTATGTCCACGAATTTCGGAAAATATGGGCTAATTTCCGCTTATATTTTGACAAAAAATTAGGCCATGACCTAATCTTAATATATAACCAATGTATTATGCAGTGGTAAAAATTCTGTACATGTACTTTCCTAGTGATTTTTTTCTGCACAAATTTGAACTAATTTAAAATACTTTACAGTATGGTCATGAAGCAAGACTTAAATAATTTTTAAATACATGCTTCCCTCCACTTAAAGACCACTTGTGGGACCGGGGGATCCATGGTCTTTAGCAGCTTTGGTCTCTAATTATAATTGTAAAGATAAAAGGCATTTGGTTATATGGGAACACAGAAATGTGGTCTTTAATTGGAGATGGTCCTTAATTGGAGGGAGACCTGTATTACAAATTTAAGAAACTAATTACATACTTAGTAAGCAATGGAATCGGTGATGTTGCTGAACCTAGTTGCTGCTGCCATTCACCCATCAATGATGTGAATTCAGCTTTCACCTTCTTCCTTCCTTCCTCCTCATCCTCCATACTTGGTCACTGAAACTAAAACAAGTAATAAAATTGAAAATGAGATATCATTACAAGCATTAAATTTAGGCCAAGTTAATAAAAAAAGTAGTTTCTCATCTTAATATTTTGAAAAAAAGGGGAAAGATGGGACTCTGATATGGCAAATCCAATTTGGTCGATGGGAAACAGCTCCTACTTTCTCATTTTTACCAATTAAGCACATTGAAAGCAAATGAAAGCAGCACTAGACAGGGGCTGTATGGACCAGTATTAGTACACCAGGGTAGCCTTACTAACCCATGCCATTTGACCCACCTACTGTCTAGCTAGGCTACACAGGCTAAAGAGGCCGTCAAAACAAGGCTAACGCCAGGAGTCTGAGAAGCAGGGTTTCCTCAAATCTGCCTTTAGGCCACGGGAATGAAAGTTGTAGGTTTGCGTCCACCGCCCGCATGCCTAGATTATTTTGAAAAGTTCATTATTTAAAAAAAATATATACTTCGTTTTAAAAAACGAAAAAGAAGTCGTAAAGAGACAGAAAAACGATCTATTAATCACTGATCACTCGTCGCGAACACCGAGCGAAGGCAGGCCTGGCCACATCGCACCATGATCGCCGATCACTGCTGAGGTCAT